GTATAGTGCAATCCCATGCTCTGATCATTGCTCGCTCTCCATAACGAGATCTTCAAGATCGGACAGCAGAGAGCGATGGAAAACTTGCTGTCGCCATCATTATAAACCGGCTTCACTGCATGATGATGATTCAGTACGAAAACGATTCAAGCAGTTTGAGCACAATAAGCGAACATAAAAGGAAGATGCCCCATTTCTTTATCGCTAATCGGTAAAAAAGAAATGAGGCAGAACAGTAGGCAAACGCTAACTTGACAAAGCAGCTGGAAAGAAGTCTACCAGCAACTGCCATAAAAACAGTCAATTTGCTAGCCCTCAAAGAAGACTTACTGGCAGAACTTATCAGAGCCAAATAGAACTGCATGCACGCAAAGACCGAATCTTAGGTGCGTTTACCTGGCGGATGAAGGATATGCCGTAAATCGCTGGTGCCTCCAGCACATCCGGATCCGTTGGTGATCACGAACGAAACCGGCGCTGGCGAGAGTGCCAGGGGCGGGGCTGGTGCTGGGAAACGCTGCGGATGCTCATCGACGTAGTTGGAAGGAAACCAACCAACGTGATTGCCGCATTGGCCTCGCCACCAGCCATCGGCAGACTTTTCGAGCACCTCGATCTCGCTGCCCCTGGTCAGCTTCAGCTCGTCGTCGCGCGTCGGACAGTAGTCGTACCGAGCGAAGGCCACTGACGGCGCACACGTCGCCTTGGATGAGAAATCGATGTTGTTGTCGATATCTAAAACAGTGCGCGGCGTCTAAACGGTACGCGCGGTGAGAAGCAATGGACGAACGAGGGAGCGTGAGGAACGAACGTTGCGAAACGCCGTCAGTTACCTGCTTAGGAATGGTCGACAGCGACACCTTTTTGACATCGCAACTGCCTTTGCGCTTCAAGCTCTCTTTGATCAGGTCGAACGTGCCTCCCAACGCATCTTTCCAGTTCTCTCTCCTCACGTAGTTCGACGGCACCAGGCCGACGCGGTTATGCACGTTACGTACCTTCCACCACGAACCGCTGTCGTCGACCAGCACCAGTCTTTCGTTCTTCTTGACGCTTAGCTCTTGCGACTCTTTTGCGTCGTAGTTGTACTTAGCGACAATGTACTCGACTTCGGCCATTGGAACTAAACATCCGTCTCATAGCATACCAGCCATACCTTGCTGCTGCTGCGGACTGCTGATGCCTAGGCTGCCGCTGAAAATGTCTGTCAAACGAATCATGACAAAAAACGACATTCGGCACCAAAGCGACCAACCGACCGTTCGGTCGGACGGCCTGCCGACAAGATTTTTCCGCTTACTTAATTGGCACCAGCACGACAGCGACGGATCTGACGTTGTCGATTCGGCCTGCTGTACTCAGCTTTTCTCAGATGATAAAAAGTTGGCCAACGGCACCTTGATCTTCGCTTGAACTGATCCACATCGCATCCGTCACTTCTATAAAGTAGCAATTGGCCGTACTGCTTTCTGAAGAACTTCTCTCGGAGCATTTTCGTTTTAGCACGTTTTACAAGATGCAACGCAAAAAAACTTACGGAACCGGATCACAACAAAAGTGACAAACCGGTTGCCTTCTACCGTCGCTTTAGGATATGAATCCAGTGAGCTCAGCTCGCCAAATCCACCCTAACGAATCGCGCGAAGATGGTACATCGGTAAAGATCAAACATAGTCTGCTCGCCGCTGGAGGCTCCGGAGGCCGAACTAACCACTGCCCGCTTCTAGCACAAACAAACCACGATATCCAGACTGGCTGAACACCCAGGCAGGAAACAACGTCTTTGCCAACTGTGGCGTCAGCATCACACATCAGCAGGCCAAGCGGCGTCAACCAACTTCGTCACTTCCCAACCCTAGTACCATTTGGTCTCGAGTCGCGTGCCGCAGGCTTCAACGACATTCACTGCCAACGACAACGACACTTTTCGTGTGAAACAGGTTCGCGACAAGAACGACTGTTTCAGCCAAACCAAAGCGGTCATCAACCGGGTTATGAACGACCATCGTTGTAGACGAATTCTCAACCGAACTGTGTATAAGTGAGAATCGTTTCGCTATTAACTCATAACAGTGATTTAGCTGTGCGCGCATAAGCGTACGGCTCTCTCTTCGGCATGTATCTCTTTAAACACGTGCGCTGGAAATTGGTGTGTGGAAATCAGTTTGTTGGTCAACTTCTGCTTCTACGGATTCTTCCTCTTCCTACCTACATGCAGGCGCTGTCTGGCTGGTTCTCGTGGGCCTCCTCGAAACTGATTTACGCGTTAGGCTACGACTGAACAGAACTGTCCAAAAGTTACCGACATATAGCATATCCACAATTCCTAAGATCGTCGATCACAACCAGTTAGTGTTTTCCGGCATATAATTTCCAATGAAGAATAAAAGCGGTTGTACGATTCGTTCGCACGCTGATTGTAGGCATCAGCTGGCAAGAATCAATTTATACATATTCATACGTCAGCCAAAAGGCAGCATTGCTCGACGGTTAAAACTGGTTAGATTCAACGACTGCTTTTTGTGCCTTAAATATGACTGACAAGAAGACAAAAATTACTTTAACTAACCGTTCTTCTCGGTTCGCACCACTTCGTACCTCACAGTTTGTAGGCGCGACAGTTTTGCCTGCGGTAACAGTTATCCGCCTCGCCCTTATTTTAGATGCGCCATGAATACAAGTCGATGCTCCTCTGGTATTCTCTATTTTGTCTGTCCTCACAGCTGGCTAAGCAATTTGGCCATCGAATCATCTGTGTTTCTGGACGACCGAGATGACGTCGTAAAGTTAAAAGAAAAAGTTCGCTGTCAATCCGTTGGAATGCTGGTCTTTCTTATATGTACATGACTGGGCTAATTTTAGCACCTCTGTTTTCATAAAGTTAATGGTGGTGGCGCTGATCTCCATTTCCACGTCATCGGCCAGGGGTGCCATATTTTCAAAGGCAGAATCAACAGCACCTATGTGACAAGCATAGCCTGTATTCTCCTGTTTCCTTTCCACTCATTTATCACAGTGGTACTGATTAATTAATCTCGAAAGAAAAATGTGTGACGCCAACCAGGGCTCTGACCCGGAACCTCTCGGTTTTGAGCCCGACGCCCTACCGACCCAGTAACCCGGGTCTGAAGCAACGTATGGTAAACTCTTTGCTGAACTGAATTCGTGCTAATGAACACTGCTAGCCGCGGGAATGGAACTCGGCACTTCTGGAGTTCGAATTCGATGCCGAACTCTTGCGCATTGTGCCACCATGCCAGTACCCAGTTCTTGATTTCCTCTGGTAATCTCACAGGTGAAC